CCCCCCTTCATTTGGTCGAGTTCTCGCTTCCCGTTTTCTCTCCCTGGTCAAAAGGGGCATTTTGTCCTCCTGGGACGGGGCTGGGCGAAGGCCGGCGGCTCTGAATGGCTGCTTTGTTTGGGCAGAGAGCAAAACGTTGTAAACAGCTTTTTGCGTGTGTGTGTGTGTGTGTGTGTGTGTGTGTGTGTGTGTGTGTTTGTGTGTCTCTGTGTGTATGTGTTGGTGTCTGCTTTGCCCTCCCTTTCTCCGCGCTGGTGCCTGAAACAAAACGAAAGAAAGAAAAAAGGAAGAATAAGTCGCTTGAGCCCGATAGAAACACCCCATCCCAGAAGGAATAGAGAATAAAAAGAGTCGGAACGGGCCTCAAGAGGTCATCCAGCCCAACCCCTCTGCTCAAAGCAGGAGATCCCATACAGATCCACAACCCATTTGTTTACGGACGGTTCAAACTTAACAACGGCACCAAAAGAAGCGAGCGTTTTTCACACTCGCGACCGTCGCAGCAATCCCCCCGGGGTCGCGTGATCGAAATTCGGACGCTTGGCACAACGGACTCGCCTTTACGACGGTCACAATTGGGGTCACGGGCACATATTATCATATGTGGTGGACATGTGCGAAAGCAAGGAAATACATGCCTGATGAGAAAAAATGTTTAAACAGCACATCGATGATAAGGCAGAAATATTTTTTGTTAGACATAATACCAGGAAAATATGATAAAGAGAATATATATTTAGTACTGCATATCCTGACAGCAAGTATTGTATTTGCACAGCCCTGGAAAAATGCTAAATAAATACTCTGCTAAACAAATATTTCCCTCAACACTGTCCAACTATTTACTAAGTCTGCATTACTATTACTATTAATTTTCTCATTGTTCCTATCACCCATCCTCTCCCACTTGTGACTGTATGACTGTAACTTTGTCACTTGTATATTTACAATTTTTATTGACTGTTTCCTAGTATGATTTGATTGCTTATTGTCCCCTATGACTATTATTAAGTCTTGTATCTTATGATTCTTGACTCTTGACAAATGTATCTTTTATGTACACTGAGAGCATTTGCACCAAGACAAATTCCTTGTGTGTCCAGTCACACTTGGCCAATAAAAGAATTCTAATTCTAAAATGAGGAAATATCCCCCAGAAGAAAGTGTAATGGAAAAAAACAACAACCTAGATTGCACAGAAATGGATACGTTGACATTAAAGACAAAGGATAAAGAAGGTACAGAATATATCTCAATAAGGGATTTGTTTTACCAATGACTAGACAATAGAGGTAGAAATTAGAAACTGGAAAAAAAATAACTATATATAAGCAGATAGACCCAGACGATACATAGTTCGCGAAGCACTTGTGTATGTTAAAGAAAAATGTATAAATTAAAATATATAAGAAAAGAATAATAAGGCTTCTGTACTGGGAAAACGCCGGTCAAATTCACCCCCCCAAAAATAATATTTTGCAAGACTGGGAGACTCCCTCGACCTGTTTTGGGTTGGGGAAAATAAATCAAACTTTTGTGGCTTGGGTGGCTACTGAGAACATTCCAGATGGAAATTGCAGCTGTCCTGGAAAGATAGGGGAAAAAAAAAAACCAGGACTCGGTTGCTTAACTCTTTCTTGGGGACCGGAAATGAAAGAAAGAGAAGAATGAAAGGCCAGCAGAATTCAGACAGCTGGAATGAGGGCCCAGCCCGAGGAAATAGCTGGGATTTGTCATTTGACTCTTGCAAAATCAAGATTTTTAATGTTTTGCAGGGAAAGGGGGAGGTTGCAAGGGCCGGGCGCCCTCTGGTGACGGACGACTGGTATTGCACGCGGGTGTCAACTCGTAAAACATTCCTATTATGCCTGTTTTCCGTCAACTCGTAAAATATTTCTATGGTCTTTTTAGAGTTGACATAAATAAGGGGGGGGGGAGAAATCTTAAGGAGCAGGGCGGCAGTTTAAAACCAGAAGTACCATTCCAACTCTTTATCTTACAAAGATTGTAGCTAGGCTACCGGATCTTCTGCCTGGGAAAATCCTTCATTGGAGAATGTGATTGTTGACACCCAGCCCAGGTGCTTCGTTGGAGTATCTGATTTATGACACACACCCAGGGGGGAGGGGAGGAAACAGGGTCACAGGTGACCGTAAATTACGTGTGGCAGAGTTAGCTTCATTTAGGTTAATGCTGGCATGTCGCTCCTAATAAATCTTTTGGTTTCTTTTGAAGCTTGGCTCAAAGATCAGGATTTAATCGCTGGAACCCTGACAGCGGGGCTCGTTCTCAACTTAAAACCAGAATGGATCCCGCCGGGTCTGTTGCTAAGCGAGATGTTCATTTAAAAAGGGAGCTTCGCCCCCTTTTTACGACCTCCCTCGCTGCAGTTGCTAAGTGAATCACGGCAGTTCTCGAGTTGGTCACGTGGTCTTTAAGTGAATCGGGCTCCCTTATCGAATTGGCTCATCCGAAGGTCGTCAAAGGGGACCATGTGACACCCACCCTGCCAGCAGGGATGCTTCGACCGTCGTTAAATATGAGTGGGTTGCCAACTTCGGAATTCAGGGGATGGTGCAATGGTCGTAAGTGTGAAAAAACTCTTTTGAGTGCTGTTGTAACTTTGATGAACAGTTGTAAGTCGAGGACTTGTACGTCCAACAAAAGGATTGGGGGGGGGGGAAATTGCAGCGCAAAAACAGTTTTGCCCAAACACAAGAAAGGGGGCAGATTGGTTGGGTGTTTGTGGAAGATTCTCCGCCGTAAATTTTCTTCATCCAGCGATGTCTGCAATTCGCAAAAACTATGGTCGTAAAATGAGGACGATCCGTACTTCTGTCTGAAATGTGTCTTCCCGTTCATTGGCTCCGCCTCCCGTGCTGCTCCTGGCTCCGCCCCCTGAGTTAGCATTTTCTTTTGGCTCTGCCCCTTTTCCCGATGGGTCCTTTTGGGTCTCCAAGCCAATCGACCCAACGGATTGGCTTTCTCCGTTTTCGAGATCCCACACCGGTACTGGACGTTGCTGTCCAGCCTGACCTGACCTGATTTTGGCCCCGTTTAACCCCGGACAAAGTCAAGAGCCCGATTCAATAATTCATGCCATCTCCTTGCATGATTTATGCCGAAACAGTTGAGACGTCCTTCAAGTTCCCAGCCCGTAACACGAACTCGGATCCTTTGCTTGTCCCGATATCTGGTTTCACGGCGCTTCTGTTCTCGCCCGATTCTGGTTCCACAAAGGCCCTTTTCACCTCAATCATCCGAGTGGCCTCTGGGGGACAATCCCCATTGTCCACGCGGAGCTGGCCAGAGACACTCGATCCCTCGTCTCCTATCTTGTATCGGTTACCCCTTCAGTGAGGCCACGACGGCAGCCAAAACCTCCCTGGATAGATGGATAAATAGGTAGACGGAAGGGAAGGAAGGAAGGAAGGAAGGAAGGAAGGAAGGAAAGAAAAAAGATGGGAGGGAGGGTGGGAGGGAGGGAGGAAGGAAGGAAAACAGATGGGAAGGTGGGAGGGAGAAAGGAAGGAATATAGATAGATGGATAGATAAGTAGGTAAATGGAAGGGAAAGAAGGAATTATGGCTAGATAAATAGGTGGATGGGAAGGAAGGAAGGAAGGAAGGAAGGAAGGAAGGAAGGAAGGAAGGAAGGAAGGAAGGAAGGAAGGAAGGAAGAATATAGATAGATGGATAAATAGGTAAATGGAAGGGAAAGAAGGAATTATGGCTAGATAAATAGGTGGATGGAAAGAAAGGAAGGAAGGAAGGAAAAAGGAGGGAGGAATATAGATAGATGGATAGATAAATGGAAGGGAAGGAAGGAAGGAAGGAAGGAAGGGAAGGAAGGAGGGAGGGAGGAGGGAGAAAGGATAGATAGATGGGTAGATAAATAGGTGGATGGAAGGGAAGGGAAGGGAAGAAAGGAAGGAATATAGATAGATGGATAGATAAATAGGTAAATGGAAGGGAAAGAAGGAATTATGGTTAGATAAATAGGTGGATAGGAAGGAAGGAAGGAAGGAAGGAGGAAGGAAGGAAAAAGGAGGGAGGAATATAGATAGATGGATAGATA